GAAAAATGCGCCCGCCGCGTACCTCCAAAGCCTCGAACCTTGGGCGAGGCTGAAATTTCATGCGGGATGGTTGGGCTGGACTAGGCCACCCACCATGGCGGGGGGGTTGGCCAGGCTGAAGCGTGTCTGCAAGGGGGAGTAGAGGGGGTTTTTAAAGGGATCTGAACGCCCTGAGGCTGGATGCCTCGGCGAACATAGTAGTTTCCGTTTGATTTTCCATCATCCCAATATAACCCCTATATACTACACTAAGAATTCCCGTCTTCCCGTCCAGGTGTACACTTTAGGGTTTAGCTTAGGGTTCTGACCTCTACGCACGAGGTGTTCAAAGACCCGCCCTCAGTGCCGCCCCGAGATACAGCTGGCATGGCATCCTTTCTGGCATGTCCTTCTTCCTTGTTCCACTAAGGGTTTAGGGTTTAGGTTTTAGGGTTTAGGGTTTAGGGTTTAGGTTTTAGGGTTTAGGGTTTAGGGTTTAGAGTCTACCTGCAGATCAAAGTAGCCCTGTTCCACGAAGAGGGTCTACCGGCACTTCAAAGCAGGTAGAATAGTGGCCCCCAACCCATGAAATTCTTCTACGCTCTACACATTTGGGGGTCCATGTAGGGGTTCAGAGTCCTTGTCTGAAATGGGGCTTAGGGCTCAGAGTTTAGGACTTGGGGTGTTGGGGCCTCCTTTTGTCCTTGAACAACTGGTCTTTTCTTTGGTTCCCTATATATTATAGCGCAGACCTCTTGATTATTGGGGTTGGTATATGCAAGGAAGGGGGCACTGCCTCTGAAGAATGCCATGACAAGTGGCGTCCTAATGGGGAAAGAGTTTACTTGCAGCTTCGTGCGTACAAGCAAAGGGCATAAGTACAAATGACTAGCATAGTCTGAACCCCGAACACATTGACATTTTCCCCGAATTCGAAGTACCTCCGTGGATGTCTCCATAACAAGGATTGTAGTCTTCTTGGGTCTGTCTGTATTGGGGTCCCCCTATTCAGGGAGATTACCTAACTTCAGGCGCTACAATAACACCCACACAGCCACGTAGCCCCAAACCCTGGATGCACTTAAGATATTATGGGCCTATAGCTCGCCTTGCAGGGGTATAGGAGCCCTTCCTTGCCACGAAGGAATCATGCAAAAATACAAAAGCGAGTGGACCGCCCCAAAATGCGATACTCCTCAGTCTAAAACGGAGCTGTGACTCTGTTTGTGCTGAACCTCTCAGAAGCGTCCATGGCATCCGATTATACAAGGAGTTTCGGCGAACGCTCTCATTGGGCGTTTGGTTAGCTAGGAATGCAGGAATGGATCCTTATAGTAGTCCCTATATGACCCATTATAGTAAATTTCCATGTTCTTTTCCATTCCCAGCTAACCAAAGGTAATCCTAAGGGTCCAAGGACCCAAATAATAGGGTTTTAGGGCCCAAATACTATACTATTAATGGTATCTGGGCCCTAAACCCTCATTATTTGGCCTTAGGGGAAGTCATTGGGTACCTGTGATGACGGCATCGGGAAAGGCGCAGGCTCGAGCGTTGAGACTTCCGAGATCGTCATGCAGCGGGAGGAAGCCTGGGTTGCTTTTAAGGACTTTAGATCAAGTTACCATAATGGGTATATATAGTAACAAACATGGTTCCCCAATGTAGTAACTTAAACTAAGTTCCTTAACAGCAAGTTAGGCAGTCCAGGCCGAAGCTTAATCCCGTGGATGCTGCGTAGCGCGATCTGAACAGGCAGGGCTCTGCAATCGCCAATGCAAGTTACCGAGCTACAGTGGTTAGGCTGTCACCTTCTCAAAGGACCCATATGAGCTATAGTCTAAACTCCTAGTATCCCCTTTCATAACCCCTATCGTAGTCCCCTATTGCATCCTCCATATGATCCCCTTTAAGGAGTTTAGAAAATAGCTCATGTAAAAACCCTAAACCTATGTAGCGACATAGTATATACATGGGTTAAACTTTTCTCGGAAGAGCTTCGGACACTAGTATATAGCTGCATGGGCCATTTGGGTTTGTTTCCTCAGGCTGTAGGATTTAGGGTTTAAGTGCGGCCTGACTCAGCCCTCATACACTCGCAGCCCCCTGAAGACAGTGACAGGGTAGAGAATGGGCTGTGGCTGCGTTGGGGCTGCTTCCAAGTGTAAAAGTACTGGGGTTAGGCGAGGTCTATGCAGGCCTCCCATAAGTGAACCCATCTGAGATCCACCTACCCTAAACCCTAGACCCTAAAACGCTCCTTGAGTTCATGGTATACAGCAAGGTCCGCCGCTCGAGACTGCGTGCGCGAGTGGAGTGCGGCAGCCATGCTGGGCACTGAGCTTCCCTAGACCTAAACCCCAAGGGCTTGCGATTGAGGGCTCCAACCCTAATCCTTCAAACCATGCAGGGAAGACCTCAATCCTGGCCCAACCCTAGAGGCTAAAGAACACAAGGTTCCTTTGTAGAGCTACCTGGAAAGGTGTCCTTGTTGGGGGTGTCTGTTCTTTTTTTTCGGAGATCTATCAGAATCTACCTGGTTCAGGGCGTGGCAGTTGGGGACCCTAAATCCTAACCCCCAAACCCTAAACCCTAAACCTAATAAGGTCCGCTCGAATCCGCCTAGATATTTGGGAATATGCGGGCGCTACGGAGTCCCTAAACCCTAGACCCTCCCGTTGTTCTTGTTTAATTTTTAACTTTTGCTCAGCCATTCTGCCTATGTATGCCCCTTAACCGCACAACCGTCTGCTCCATCCCCATGATTCCCCATGACTCTCCTAATTTATATGACCGACTCTGAATTTTCACGCCCCCACGCCCCCCACACCTTAGTCTCCAAGGTGTAAACCTACACTCATACGGGGTAGCTCTCATTTCGTTTCCATTATTCTCACTATTTAGGCCCACCCGTTGTTCAATAGCTCCCAGTAATTATTCTGACCAAGAAGCTGTACTACAGCTACTTGTATCCAACCCCATGGTACGCCAATATTGAGTACTTGGACGCACTGCAAACTACCTAGTCTAGTAGAGCCCTAAACCCTATAAAACCTGAAACCCTAAACCCACAACCCTGAACTTAAAACCCTGAACCCTAAATCCAAAGCCCTAAATGTTAAACCCTAAGCCCTTTGCAATAAACGCTAAACCATATCCTTTTTTGTCCCTTCTAAGGCGAAGCCGTCCTCGGCGCCCAAGTCGGGGCTGGCAGCGCAGGGAGCCCAGCAGACGAAGGGTGTCCACGTGAGCACAGGATACAGTAGGGTTTGGGTTTGGGGCTTAGGGACCTCAGAGATATTGAATTACTCGGATCCTTATTACCGATAGGGATGACTATAGATCCCTTACGGATTACTCGAGGTACCCTGGTGCTTTAGTTGTGGATTGAGAGCCAGGGTTTCGGGTCTGGGGTATGTGTAGGGCGTACTGCCCCAACATGCCTGAACAACTGCCAATATTGCCTAGTGATGGAGCATCAGACGGAACACAAACAACGGAATATGGAAGGTAAACGTGGATTGTTTAGACGATAGTGGTGAAATCAAAATGAGTAGTGTCGTAGTTGCGGCTGCTACAGTCCCCAACATGCAGTAAGATCATTATTGGTTTGGGGGTACGGTTTCGTTCACCTTAAACCCTCAACTCTAAACCAGTAGAAGGTAAACTTACGCGCTTTAACCGCAAAGTATCGCTATTCAGGCGGCGGATGAAGATTTGCGGCGCCGCACTCCCTAGGCCCTAAGCGCTAAGCCCTACCGGGACTCCACAAGTAATTCGATGAAATCATAGCTCAAGACCCTTAACAACTGCCCAAAATCAATCTATTCCACATGGTTTTTGAGGTTCAGGTAAACCATAAACTCCTAAGCCCCTAACCCCGAGGGCCTATAAGGGGAAAGGCTGAGGTTGCGGGGTTTTGGAATTCAGGGCTTATAGGGTTTAGGGCCTAGGTTTGGCCTGTTGGGCTTAGGTTTCAAGGGGGCATAGGGCTTACAGGGCTTCGTAGGGTTTATTATATGGTTCAGGTTAGCTGTAGTGTTTAGGGCTGGTGCCTAGGCTTTAGAGACTTGATAAGTAATGGCCCCTGAAAAACAGTGTGCATACGGTCCTAGTGTAGGCCTCAGACCAGAGAAGTATGACCTGATGCTGGAATTCTCTTCCTGGAAGCGTATCAATATGTATCAATCTTAAGTCCATACAAGGCGCCTTCACTACGATGGGAACAGCCTTGGGCTGACCCTAAGGGTCCAAGGACCCAAATACTAGGGTTTTTTGGCCCAAATACCATTAATAGTATAGTATTTGGGCCCTAAGACCCCATTATTTGGGTCCTCGGACCCTTAGGGTGATGCGAGGAGAGGGGCAGCACAGAGGTCGACGCTGGTGTCTGAAGTAACTTCCACGCAAGTGTGCTCTTTGCTTGAACATAGGTGGCTAGTATTTTTGCAGCTCGTTTTGGCGCAATACGCGCGAGAATCCTTTGTGACTGGCGCTTCTTACTTGCGCTATGCTATGGCGGGTAAGGTTCAGGCTGCTGCAGGTAATAAGGCGGCTGGAACTTTGAGACCCCCAATCCTTTGCTCCAAAATGCTATTGTCCAGATGCACCACATCCAAGCCAAGGATTCTGACTGCAAGAAGAAGGTCCAGCTGTTGACGCAGGGCCTCCAGGAGAGAACTCATCGCATCGAGGCCTACGCCAAAAAGTCGGGCACAAGGCGTACTACACGATTAAGGACAAGATCAGAGAAACCATCCATGAAGCCCAGCGCAGCCGCAACATGAACCTCCACACAGCTTGGATAGCATAACAATAATCCTAGTGATAGTAACAGTAGTACTAGTAGTACTAATAATAATGATAACAACAATAAGAATGGTAACAAAAGGAAAAACACAGAGGCAATATAAAGCGTACGGAAGGTTGCATGCAGAAGCATGAAGGATTTCATGATACTAGTATATTATAGTATAGTATGCCAGAACTGAAATTCACAACCTTCAACCTTGGTCCGTAACGCCTTATATGTGTGTGTATATATATACATATGTATATATACACATAGTGTAGATCCTAAATCCAAACTGCAATTCCTGAACCCAACATAGACCCTAAACCCTATACCTCATGTCCTAAACACTTACTCCTTCACCCCAGGGCCTCAGTGAGGTAGTCATGAGCCCTAACCCTAAACCCTGCAGACCCAACATCTACTCCGAGCTTCATAAACCTAAGCCCAACCACTTGGAGGGTCAAGAGGATTTAGTCCAGCTGTAATTTTTAACCCTTATAAGCCATGCAGAGACCACACATCTGCACCATTGAAATTGTAAGCCTACCTACTGGGCCCTCCTTGGACCCCTAAACCTCTGAACCCCTAAACCGTAAACCCTAAACACCTGTACCCTAAACCCCAAACCTAAAGTTGAAAACCTAAACCTTAAACCCCATAGTAGTTTCCATTTTCCCTTCCATTATCCTGATTATAACCACCCATAAATCCCGAGAAAACTGTATAAAACCCCATCATAGTAGTTTCCATGGTCTTTTCCATCATCCCTATTGTACTCCATGAATCCTTATAAAAAAAAAACCTATAAAACTACCATAAGCCTTAAAGCCTTCAAGCCTGCAACCTTGTTGTTACCCCATATTACCCCATCATAGTAGTTTCCATTTCTTCTCCATGATTACCCCTATACTACCCCTATAAAGCCTGCAAACCCCTAAAGCCTAAACCCTATGGTAGCTTCCATTTTCTTTTTTCATTATCCTTATATAACCATTATACATCCTTATAAAACCCTATAAAGCCCTTTCAAACCCCTAAACCTGAAACCCCTAAAGCCTAAACCTATAAAGCCTGCAGCCAGGCTCTACCGGTCTGAGTTCTCTGACGAATTCTTGCAGTGGGCGTTGCTCTCGGTGATCAGTGAATAGTTGAGGATTTTCGGTTTAGGATCTAGGGTTTAGGGCTTATCAGGTTTGTGATTTTGGGTTCAAGGCTTAGGACTTAAAGTGTTCAAGGTTTAGGGCTTAGGTTGGGGGGTGTTCTTTTGAAGTGGGGGTGGGGACTTCTTGCCGCAAAAGTGCGGTCAAGGGCTCAAAGGGTTCACGGGGTTCGATATTTCTTTAAGTGGGGCCCCTAAACCCCGAACCCCATTTTTTGCAGTGAGGCCGGGTTGAGGGTTGCTTTCCGAAGTGGGACTTGTGTTGCAGCGAAGTTTTCATGTGTACTATAGTCCAAACTCCTTGAAGTGGGATTATATGGGGGAATATATACGGGACTAGTATAGGGGTTACTCGGGGGGTTTAGACTACAGCTCATGTGATGTTTTGTTTTAGCCTCGTATGCAACGTGACTGTATAACTTCAGTACTACTTTACCGAAATTATTCCAAGACGGAGCCAGCGATATAAACCCTAAACCCTAAAGCCTAAATCCTAAACCTTAAATCCTAAACCCTAAATCCTAAGCCCTAAATCCTAAACCGTAAACCCATTGCTGAGGAATCTCGCGTGGGCATTGGACCCTTTCCCTGAGAGTCCATGTAGCCAACCACGAAGGCTTCTTGTCCCCTAAGCCATGCAGCCATATGAACCCCAATAATGCAGAATCAGATGGAAAAGAAAATGTCGAATTAAATGGAAACTGGGATTATTTTGGGTGTATAGGGGTTATACTGGGATAACGGACAAGAAGATGGAATTTGCGATAAAGGGTGTTATATGGGGATTATAGGGTATAGAGTTTACGAGTGATGTGAGCTGTAGTCTAAACTTTATCTAGGGGATTTTCTATGGGAGTGTTATAGGGGTCATTAAGGGGGATACTAGGAGGTTTAGACTATAGCCCATATGGAACCTCGGCAGCCCTAATTTTTGGGTGTATTTGAACCCTTGGGTGACCTAGTCTTCCGAAAGCTCTACTAATCTCGGGGAGCACTACAATCCCTGAACCCTAAACCCTAAAGGCCTAAACCCTAAACCCTAAATATTAGTTTCCATGTTGTTTTCCATTATCGCAATACAATCCCTATATAACCCGTAAGACCTGCATCCCCTAAACCTAAACCCTTCTTACATCACAGGTCCTTACCAAGGAGAAGGAGGGCTGCGTCTTCTGGTACAAGCCAGACCAGGCACATCCATTAGAACCATAGTCTAAACTCCTTTAGGGTTTAGGGTTTAGGGTTCACATCCAAGTTATTAGAACCATAGTCTAAACTCCTTTCAGGGGGGTTATTTCGTGGATTATAGAGCGGACTACTATAGGAGTTACAAAGGGGATACTATAGGAGTTTAGACGCTAGCTGATTTAGGATTAAGGGATGTGGCGCTGGGAGATGCGGATTCAGGGTTTAGTGAGCTACCAACCCTACGCAGGCTCCAGTCAAAGGCTTACCCTATACAAGATTCACCGCGTCGCATGTATTTTGATATGTAGTGCACAGCATGTCTCGGCGGTGTAGACATTGCCACATAAGCTTTTGGAAGTTTCTCAGAGTTGTTCCCTACCCAACCCAAAACCCTAAACCCAAAACCCTAAACCCTAAAACGCCTAAAGGGTAGCCCTTTAGACCCTGTAGTGATGGTCCTCATAAATCCTCAGGTCCCAACTGGAAGGTCACAGCGACTTCGTAACCGTATACGATGCACGCATATATGAGCTATAGTCTTAACTCCTCAAGGGGGATTATATAGGGGACTATATAGGGGACTACTATAGGGGATATAAAGGGGGATACTAGGAGTTTATGCTATAGCTCATATGGGGGTTTCCCAAAATGAGGGGTACCTTTTTTGGGGGTTCCTATAATAAGGACTAGAGTATGTTGGGGTCCATATTGGGGTTCCCCAATGTTGGGAAAGTACCAGATGTTTTGCTAGGACCCTCTAAGACTGGTGCCGCCATGCGGAGGAAAACGCATATCCCTGGCACGCTGCCCCTGAAAAGTCGACCTTCTTCTCATAATTTTCAATGGAGAGAGCGAGAAGGGTGCATAAAACCCGATGTCTTTGTGTATGCATATATATGTATGATATGTATACATGCATACACATATATATATATACATATAGTGCACACATCTACAGTATGCTTGATGTGTAGCTGGATGCATCCATCCAGCTGTCCGTCCATCTGTCTGTTCGTCGGTCGATTCATCCATATGCCTAAGCCCTAAACCCAAAACCTATGTGACCATAAGGTATAGGTTCCCTTTCTGCTTAGGATGGCCCTCTGAGGAAGTGTATTCCCTATGACGGCCTTTCGAACGATGTATCTTACATATCCAGCCTCGAGACGGCAGCATCACATGGAGCCTTGAAGTAGGACCCCGAGGATCTGGACAACCTCCCTCCAAACAAGCCCTAAACCCTAAACCCCAAATCCCCAGAAAGAGTCATACCAAGGCCATCGCTTTTCTACGGGAGCTGGCATAGGCTGTTGTGTTGCTTCCGGGAGGTCATGCAGGAGTTTCTCAAACTCTTCCGTATACAGCCCCGAAGGAGGGCCTCGAAAATCCTGCTGCAATCCCTGCATGCCCCCCAATATCCGAGGCCTGCGACAGGCCTCAATCTTAACCCTAAAGCCGATACCCTAACCCTACATCCTAAACCTCCTGCCTTAACCCTAAACCCTAAACTTATTCCCTTGACCTTCAGGATCTGGAGAAGATGTCCAGCTTCTTTGAAGGGAAAGTCGATCCTTTGGATGAGCAACCCTACAGGACGCCTTGAAGGGATTAGCAGAGCGGGTTTCGGGGCTTAGGCTTAGTGCCTAGAATGTAGTATCTTCCATTTTCTTTTCCATCATCCCCATATATCCCAAATACAACCCTAATATTATACCCCAATGGGTACCTATATCCCATCATCAGGGTTAAGGGTTTAGGGCCAAAGGTTGGGGGGTGTGTAGCGATCTTGAGGCTTCGCGGTGCATTTGCTGGGAGCCTGAGGTTACTGAGGGCTCACGGTACCTTCTCTCAAAGGGTTGCATTAGAGTTTATCAATGGTATAGTCCTATAAACCCGAACCCCTAAACCCCTAGTACCTTCCCTTAAAGGGTTGCAATAGAGTTTATCATTGGTAGAGTCCTAAACCCTAACCCCATAGACCCCTAAACCCTAAGAGTACATTACCAGGGTCCATGGAAGCCGGTGTTGACGGCGGGGATTTCGGGCGTAGGGTTTAGGAGTTGCTGGTTTGCGTTCCTCGTGTATGATTTTGAGGTTGTGGGGCTCCGTAAATTTGGGGCCCTAAGCCCCAGACCCAAAAACCCAAGCCCTTAAGGCCCCAAACCCTGAACCCTAAACGTTAGAACCTAAACCTTAAACCCTATAGTAGTTTCCATTTTCTTTTCCGGTATCTCTATATAACCCCTTTAAAGCCCTTATCCAGCTCTAAACCCCAAACCACTTTCAAGGCTGGCAGGTTCCTCTTTGGCAGTCCATGAACATTTAAGCATTGCCCATTCGTGCCGCATATGATTTGCAGAATCGGAGAACTGTAAACGTAACTTGAGCAGCGTTTTTTAGTATGTAAAGGATGTGATGGAACTGGTTCCATAAGATTGCTGGCGTAGCCTCTGGCCTGCAGGACGTAGTGGCGGCGTGGTTTCGCGTAGTCACGTAGAATAGTCTATCCGCGTAGTCTGCGTAGTCAGTCTGTTGTGTATAAGATAACAACATGTAGAGGCAAGTTGTGTAAACAAGAAAAGGTTCGTGCTGCATAGTTCCTCTATAGCCCAGGAGTGCCGCATATTCCGCGCGGGCAACACGATGGTAAAAGCGTGTTCGCGTAGTCTGTTCTGCATGGAAAACAGCCATCCGCGTAGTTCGCGTAGGCAGTCAATCTTAGAATAAGGACTTCAACGTTATCAAACAATGCTCACTTAGATAGGGGGGCCTCAGCCTGCTCAACAGTATCTCTCAGCATTGAAGCACCTCCATCATCTGGGTTGCTGTTAAGGAACTTAATTTCAGTTACTATATGGGGGAAACCCTATTGCTTACTATACATACCTATTATGGAAATTTAATTTCAGGTACTATCTTGGGGAAACCTTATGACTTACTATCTACATATATATATATATATCTCCCCATTATGGTGACCCTAAACCCTATATACCCTATATATATATACAGACATATATACAAATATGTATATATGTATCCATTGCGGGAACTCAATTTAAGTTCCTCAACAGCAACCCAGAACTCGCGTGAAGTGTGGAAATCGCTCCACAGTGGCTCAGCCCTCAAGAGCTTCGTTCCATGTCATTACCCAATTGAGCTAGAGTCTAAACTCCTTAAAGGGGGGTTTAGGGTTTTGGAGATAATATGGAGGACTACTATAAATGCAGGAAGCACGCGAGAAAGTAGTTCTGAGGCACTTCTCTTCTTTTTTTTTCTTTTCCCCCCCCCCCCGCCTTACTACTAC